ATTATTTTAAAAGTTAGGTTGAAATAAAACATACACTAACATACATCTTGAAATAAAGATACACACGTCATGGAGGGAATATGGGAAACTTGGCTTCTGCTTTGTACCATTATGTATTGTTTTGAATTGTTTACATGTGTATTTTTTAAATCAGAAAAAAATTATAATGAAGGGGAATGGAAACCCTTGAAGTCAATTATCTGGGAAGGTACTAGGCCAGGGCTATACTGGGAAGCTGACGTACAGGTGGGTGAGTTAGCAAGGGAGTTCTGAGCTAAGTGGCTTATTCTGTAATTGGTACGAGCTGTACATGTGAACTATGTTCCCTGTAGGAATTCTGAGAACACCTCCCAGTTGGGCCAGCAACACTTTACCCATGCCCTCGCTATTGCTACACAGAAGGGAAAGGAAGGGTGCATGTTGGCAGCAGGGCAGTGGGAGTGCAGTGCTTGTGCTGGAACAGGCTGCCTCTGGAGAGCACTCTCCTCAGCTCCTGCTGCTGTGGGGTGGAGGAGGGCTTTGCTTTCTGGCAGAGGCTGCACTCAGGAAATCTAGTCCACAGTGCTTAGCAGGGCTGATCTGGGAAGTCGGAGGCCTGTATGTTTCTCAGCTTGTTTTCAGAGAGTGTCGTCTAGTGTTTTGCTCCCTGAAGTGTGGTTCCAGCAGCATTAGGCATCACCTGGGAACTTCCTAAAAATGTAGAAGCATAGGCTCCGCCCCATAGCTAGTGAATCAGATTTTGCTTTCTGTCACAATGCCTATTAAAATTTGTAACGTGCTGGTGTAGCACAAAAAACACACAACGGGAGCCTAGGGTGCTGCCATCAGGTCTTGATTTTGCCATGAACTTGAGGTGGGAACTTAGGGAAAAAAAAGTCATGATGTTTCCGGGCCTGAGTTTGCTCATCTGTTGTAGAGTAGCTGAAGGTCTGCTCAGCTCTGTCACTGTAGACATGTATATATGGAGGTCTTTACATTGTGGTCTGAAAAGGGCAGGGGCAGTGGTAGCAGTACCCCCAGAGCCAGCCGCTGCTGCCATGCTCATGCAAGCCCGCTGCTGGGCCCACCTAAGGCTGCATATCCCTCCCATGGACCTGGGTCTTCCTTCTTTACCTTCTGGTCCAAACGCTGGTAGTCACTGGCCTTTGGCCGCCGAGTGAGTTTGGATTTTTTTCCTTCCAGGACAAAAGCAATAATCTAGGGAAAGGCAAAAGAAAATGATTAACAAGTGATTCTATAATGACATACTCCAGTATCTNAAGTTTAGAATTCTATCACCAAGTATTTCATTAAGAGCCATCATGGGAAAAGAAATGTCAAAGTATATATAGCTAGCTAGTTGTCAGGTCTTTCCAAGTTGTCTTAGCCTTTCAAGACAGACTAGCTTTCCACTCCCCCAGAGTCCAGAATTGGACTCTTTAAATAATTCTCAGTAATATAGCAGGAAAACAAGCTCCTCTATTAACATCCACGACTGAAGCATAGATTCCTAATAGAAATCACCCTTTATCCAAAAGCTGGGGGCAGGACCGGAAGCCCACAGCTGTCTAGAGGGGTGACTCATGGCTCCCTGTACTTCATTCACTGTTTGCCCCCCACCCCACCCCCAGCTTAAGAGATGGCTCAGCCAGCTCACCCTCTCACACAATCTCTAGGAAAACATGCTTCAAATGGTCTATCTTCAAAATGACAACTACACAGAAAAGTTTTCCTCTGGTGTGAGAGATTTCCTTCAGTGCAATTTCTAAAGTGAAACAAATTCTGTATCCCTTCAGTACAGGAAACGATACTTCTCAAAGGCTCAAAGGTGGAGCTATGTGGACTCCACCACAATACTTACGTGTTCCTGAAACCAACCTTTCTTTCTGCTCTCCTCTTTATGAGCAAAACCCATCAATAAGAGACAGCAACCAGTAGTGAAAAAGAGATGTGTGAGATCTCAGTTAAGTCACATCCAGATGTCCTGAACAAAGTGTCTCCTTTGCAAGAAGAAATTGAACTGAAGTACCTAAGGAGTGTCACTCTGCTAGGCAGATAGACAGTACTGATGGCACTCCCACAAGTAGCTTGGTTTTCTTGGGAAGACCAGACACATCAGATACTGACTGCCCTGTTTTGCTCAAGTTCCAAAATTTGTGATGGGCATTGTTAAGAGCTATTAAAGTAGAACTCTCTCACGGTGGGCGAGTTAGGAAGGTACATGGGAAAACTTGAGCTGGGCCATGAAGAAACAGATTTGGGGAAGGTAAGAGAAAGAGAAGGGAGAAGCCATCTAACCCAAGAACCATGGGAAGCCATGGAATGGAGGACACAGCAAGAACAAAAACCCACAGAGGCTTAGATGGGCACCCAACAAGGGGGGCCTTTGGCCTAGCAAGGATGCAGAGAAAGGCAGAAAAGTGCCCGTCTGCAGAGTCCTGAATACTAAAGAGCCTATAAACTTGATTCCCTAAGCCATGAGAGATACAGACAGAAGCTTCCTATCAGGGCAAGCAGTTTATTAAAAAGAACAATCTGTCTATGCACACAAGAGAAGATGGACAGGAGAAGAACCAATTAACGTGGCTCCTGAACAAAAAAAAAATCCAGGAGAGAGGTGAAATGGGTGGGGGTGTGGGAAAAGAGAGCAGGGAAAATGGAAAGGCTGGAGCTGGAGCTATTTTTNTCCCAAGCCAGCTCTTAACCAGTGCGCCACTCAGCCGGCCCTGTAATAATTTTTTTTTAATTTAAACATTCACCGTATTGTTTGATTACACCACATCCATAGTTCTGGTAAGTACTGTATTGTGAAACTTTTGTTTCAGGTATTTATATTATATACTTACATATATTCTGGGTTGTCATATAAAATGCATTTTTCACTATAGGTCTTTCTAAGAATGTTTGAGAAGTTAAAAGTTTACCAAGTTGTCTTGCAGCTTGAAAAATTCCAAATCTCAGTTCTTTGAGAATAATCTATAAAGAACAGACTTTGTTGGAAGTGCCCATATGGCACCTGGAACTGTCCAGTTTTGTCTTGTTTAGGTGCTGCCCCCCATAGCCCCGCCTCCAGAATTTCTTGATGTGAGGGTGTGGTGTTGTGATTTCTCAGAGTAGCAGCCTCTGAGCAGCTCAGTCCTGCCCAAGTCTTTGCATCAGGATCTTAAAGCACTATCATACCACCAGGCTGCTCCACTGGTGCCTGTAGACCCTGCATTTTCCAAAGATAACTGCTTGTGAATGGACAGTTCTGTGAGCCAGCAGCCTGTCCCAAGACACTCTCCTCCTGTCCCCACCTCATTGTTTTCTTTTCTTTCCTAGCTGTCTCCCTGGCTGCACTTAGGGGTCTCAGCCTGTATTGTTGTTGTCAGCTTTCTGTTTTTGTTCCTATAATACATAGGGTACCAAAAAAATGTATATACATTTTAAGAAAGGGAAAGACTGTATTAAAATTGTAATACTCAATATATACCGATAACAATAGATGAACACAAGTCATGTGTACATATTTCTTTTGGCACCCCTAGTAGTTTATTGATTCCTACTCTTTTTGAAAGTAGGGAAAATCCCCAGGTACATAATAGCTTTGGTTAAATCAGTTCAGATCAAAATAAATCCCTTGTTTAATCCGCCGGCTGGTCCTGAACATTTCCCCGATAAAATGTTTGAGATATTCTAATAAGCTCTGTGCCAAACTGTTCTAGAGTTTTCTAGCATTGTATAAGCTAGAGAAGTCTTCTTTGGTTTCCATATCTTTGCTCTTTTGCTGCCCCTGCCTGAGAAGCCCACCCTCCATCTCTTCCCTCTGCTGCAGCTTTCTCAGCTAGTCAAATACCAGAGAAGCTGGATGTGGTGGTTATTGGCAGTGGCTTTGGGGGCCTGGCTGCAGCTGCGATTCTGGCCAAAGCTGGCAAGCGAGTTCTGGTTCTGGAACAACATACCAAGGCAGGAGGCTGTTGTCATACCTTTGGACACAATGGCCTTGAATTTGACACAGGTAAGGTTTATGGGGAAAAGGGTTGGGAGCATGGCTCTATCTTCAGGAGACTTGGAGCAGCCATTGTGGGATGATACTATGGGATGATTTCTGTTGTTTTGGAGGCCCTGTCTGCTCTCTGGGCACCTCTTTCCTTGTCTGACAGCCATACTGGGAGCTGAACTGGGCAGGGGTTTGGTGGTTTCTGTTCTAACACCTCCCCACAGCAAGGGTGGGTAGCCTTCTCTAGGTATGGATTCAGCTACGCAGGACAACTGTTACCTTGCTTCCATGTCCACCTTTCCAGGGCTCAATACCGTTATCTCTAAGATACCTTGTTTGTCTATCTCCCAATAGGAATCCATTATATTGGACGCATGCAGGAAGGCAGCTTTGGCCGTTTTATCTTGGACCAGATCACTGAGGGGCAGCTGGACTGGGATGGCTTGTCCTCTCCCTTTGACATCATGGTACTAGAAGGGCCCAATGGCCGAAAGGAGTTCCCCATGTATAGTGGGGAGAAAGCCTACATTCAGGGTCTCAAGGAGAAGTTTCCCCAGGAAGAAGCTGCCATTGACAAGTATATGAAGCTGGTTAAGGTAACATGGACATGCCGAGGACCCTGTTTATTCCTGACAGGGCTGATCGTCTTCATTAGTGGAGTGACTGGTGGGGAAAGAGGAAGGGAGGAATAGTCATGTCTGTCCTGAACTCAGCCCCCATTGTAGTTGGCCTCTGTGCCCCTGGAGCCTGGGCTCAGCAGCTGCCACTCTCACTCTCCTCCCTGACCAGGCTGGCTTCTGTGGGGTCAGATCATTATCCCCACCACCGGACCTTTTTTTTTTTTAACTTCATCTGAGACCAGATTGGGATTCTTTTTTTTTTTTACTTTATTGGGGAACAGTGTGTTTTTCCCAGGACCTGTCAGCTCCAAGTCAAGTTGTTGACCTTCAATCTAGTTGCTGGGGCGCTGCTCACCATCCCATGAGGGAGTCAAACCGGCAACCTTGTTGTTAAGAGCGCACACTCTAACCAACTGAGCCATCTGGCCACCCCAGATTGGGATTTTTCAAAAGGGATTTGGGCAGAAAACTGAAAAGCAAAAAGACTCATATGAGTGTAGAATGGGAAAAATTCAGAGTACAGATTTTTTAAAACCCCAGTTCAGCCAAGTTCAGCCAGGGGTACATGCTGCCCGGCCCTGTGCGTGTGCATGCTGTTGGACCGGTGATTGTTTCCCAGCAGGTTTAGAGTTGAGACCTGTCCCTCCCTGCTTGTTTCCTTCCCCAGGTGGTGTCCAGGTCAGCCATTCATGCCATCTTGTTGAAGATCATTCCGTTGCCCCTGGCTCAGCTCCTCAGCAAGTGTGGGCTGCTCACCCGTTTCTCTCCGTTCCTTCGCGCGTCTACCCAGAGCCTGGCTGAGACCCTGCGGCAGCTGCCGGCCTCCCCAGAGCTCCAGGCGGTGCTCAGCTACATCTACCCCACCTATGGTGGGTACTGGCCGTGGGCCTTGGGTGGCTCCTGGGGGAAGAGGTGCTGCCCTCCTGGTCCTCAGTCTTTCTTCCTGAATGTGCTTGGCTGATGGAAATGAAGCCGTATAAACCCTAGACCCTCTGGAGCGTGTGGATGAGAAGTCTGCCCACCTACCTGCTGGACTCCCTGGTAAAAAGTCCCTTCATCCACACCCTGGATGATTTTCCTTTTCAACCAGCACTGTCCTCCCTAGTCTTAGCAGCATGGCAGTTTGCAGGGAGGATATTCCCACTGGCCCCAAAATCTGTAAGACACCCTATATTTGCATGGAAACTGACCCTCTGCCTGCCCTGAGCCCTGGGGATCATTTGAACCCTGGGATGGATAGACTCAGGCCGCACGTTTTCTGACAGGAATCCATGTTCCTTTCTGAGTGGCGCTGCCGCCTGCTCTTGCCTCATCCCTGCCTCCTTCCTTCTGTAGGCGTGACCCCTGGCCACACCGCCTTTTCCATGCATGCTCTGCTAGTTGACCACTACACAGAAGGGGCCTTCTATCCGCGAGGGGGTTCCAGTGAAATCGCCTTTCACATCATCCCAGTGATTCAGCGGGCCGGAGGCGCTGTCCTGACAAGGGCCACTGTGCAGAGCGTGTTGCTGGATGCGGCGGGGAAAGCATGTGGTGAGAGTCCTGCATCGTGCCTCACGGGCCCTAGGCTGGGGTGGGAGAGACCTGGGGTACAGAGAAAAGAAAGCACTGAGGGCAGAAGGTGTAGAAGAACTGACTTCCTCATAGGAGTTTTTAAAGGCTGGAATGGAATCTCCCCCAAGAGCAGGGACCTGGGGAGAGAGATTGGTCTGGAGGTAAAGAGGACGCATGAAGAATAAAGGACATTATTTACTCATTTATTCAGTAGATAAGAATAGTTATTCAGTAATCCATAACCACCTCGAGTGTAGGGCTGTATCTTTTTAATCTTTAATTCTATAGATGTTAGCACATAATAGAGGCTCAATAAATGTTTGTTCAGTGACTGATGGAATGAATAAGTAACCTGGGCGCTCCGTAGGGCAGTGTGGAGGCCAGCAGGATACCCTGCCCTCAACCTTTAAATGGCAGAGTGGGGCCTAGAATCTCATTATCTTGGCTCAGGTCGTTGCTGTTACCTGCACAGGGAATCCAAATCCCACTGTGGAAGAACTTTGTCAAGAGAGGGTCTATGCAAGGAAGAACTCTGGTAAACAGAACAGGCCATCTATGGCTCATGGGTGCATAAGAAGCATCAGAGAAGGGACAGAGAGAGAGGCCCAAAGAAAACAGGGTTGCTGTGATGGTGAATTTACCAGAGGAACCTTTCAAGGAGGAGGTGGTGAGTGGGTGACNCACTTACCCTTCCTTCTACGTGTGCCCTGGGGCGTTGGAAATCTGCACAGAAATCTCTTCCAGCCTGTATAGGAAGTTACATTTTGCCTATCAAGTGATTTGACTTGTTTGCATGGTCCCAACTTATAGGATTGAACCCTGGTTTTGAAACTTTGGGAGAGGCTCAACAGGGTACCTCAGGCTCAGAACCCGCTCTTCTGTCAACCAGAGTACATCCAACTGTCAACTTTAAAACATATTTTGGGATTACTTCTGAGGTTGAAAGAAAGAACTCTGCTTTAAAAAAAAAAAATGGATCCTCTGTTTGATCTCCAGGGCCTCTCTCACTTGAAAATTTTAGAATGCCGTGGTACGTCTTGCTACACATTTCTAAGGGGAAGGACTATTAGTCTGAACTTCTGAGATCAGAGTTTTAGCTTGGACCCTGTCACTGATTGACTGTATAACCATTAGCAAGTCATTCCACTTACCTGAGGTGGTCTAAAATTGAGATGACTAATTTAACTCTTTTTCAGACCAAGTTGTGATCTATTAGTGAATCATGAAATCAAGTTAGTGGGTTGCAACTAGCATTTTCAATGCAGTAGAATAGAAAATATCAGAGTGCACCATATGAAATATGATCAGAAAATATGGTGAATGTTTAAATAAAAATAATTTATTATAGTAAAAGACACATTGCCGTTAGTCCCGCTTGCTTTGAACATACTTATCACATCGTTCTTGCCACTTTCTGAAGCAGTTCTGGAAGTCCTCTTTCATGAGTGGCATTCGTTGCGCTGTTATGGCTGCCTGAATGTCCTGAATTGATTCAAAACGTTTACCTTTCATGGTCATTTTGACTTTGGGGAAGAGTCAGAAGTCAAATGGTGCCAGATCCGGTGAATAAGGTGGATGAGGATACACCATATGTTTTTATTTGACAGAAATTGCTGTACTAGAAGCCATGTGTGACATGGAAGCTTTCTGTTGTGATCAAAAGATATGGTGAATGCTGCTGCTGAGTGCCATCCAACAGAAAGGCAGGGATCTTCAGTATGGGAAGCGTCCATCGAACCATAGTAACAGTGTGTGACAAGTTTCAACATGTTCGAGTGTGAGCTACGGTTGAGAGAAGATGTGTTTTAAAGTGTGTTGCAAATCATCTTCCATCATGACAATACTCCATATCACACATCACTTCTGGTTTCACAATTTCTGTCCAATAAAAACATTACAGTGTGTCCTCATCCACCTTATTCACTGGATCTGACACTGCAACTTCTGGCTCTTCCCCAGAGTCAATATGATTCAGGACATTGAGGCAGCCGTGACAGTGCAACTAAAGATATTCATGAAAGAGGACTTCCAGAACTGCTTCAGAAAGTGGCAAGAATGATGAGATAAGTGTGTTCAAAGCGAGGGGGAGAATATTGAGTGGGATTAATGACACCGTGTCTTTTACTGTAATAATTTTTTTTTAAAAGATTTTATTGGGGAATTGGAGGAGGGGAACAGCGTTGGGGAATCAGGGAAGAGGAACAGACAAGTTGCTGTCCTTTTGTTCTTCAGTCTAGTTGTGGAGGATGTCACTTCAC